GATAAATTATCTTTCATTTCTGGTATCAGTAATTTGTTTCTTCTCTCTGTTTCTTATTAACCTACTTAGGGACTTACCATATCACTGGCCTTTCTAAACAAGCAGTTTTTGGTTTTGTTGATTTTGCTGTTGTTTTCCAGTTTCAAATTTCATCAATTTCCGCACTAATTTTTATTATTTTTTCTGCTTACTTTAGATTTAATTTGCTCATTTGCTAGTTCCTTGGGTGGATGCTGAGTTTCTGGATTTTAGATTTCTTTTTTTAAATATATGCATTCTATTTCTAAGTACTGATTTAACTGTATATCGAAAATTTTGATAGTATTTTTCATTTTCACTTAGTTCAAAATATTTCTGATTTCTGCTGAGACCACTTCTTTTACCTTTGTTTAAAAGTCTATAGTTAAATCTCCAGATATTTTTTCGATTTCCCACTACAGTTTTGTTATTGGTTTTTGGTTAATTTCATTGTGAACTCAGAACATAATTTGTATTGTCAAAATTTGCTAGAGTGTGATATGCCCAGATTGTGATCTATCTTGATGAGTGTTCCTTAGAATAATGTGTATTCTGCTATTACTAGAGAAAGTATTATAGAATGTGAATTAGACATATTTTACTGATAATGCTATTTAGTTCAGCTATGTCTTTTATGTCTGCTGGATCTGTGTTGAAGAGCAAAGTCTTTGACTGTAACAGTAGATTTGTCTGTTTCTTGGGGTAGGCGTACCACTTTTTGTCTCTTGTATTTTGACACTGTTTTTAGGCTCACACATGTTAGGGGTTGTTTTGTCTTGGGAATTCACCTTTTTATTATTATGGAGTCCTACTCTTTATTCCTAATAATTTTCCTTCACTCTGAAGTTGATTTTGAAATTAACATAGATAGTCCAGCTTTCCTTTTCTTTTATTAACTTAGTATACCTGTCTCCATTTCTTTACTTTTAATCTATATGTATCTTTATACTAAAGTGGATTTTCCTTTGGATAACACATTATTGGCAATTATTTTAATTGTGCTTTGGTGTCTGCCTTTTAATTGGTGTATTTAAATCATTCACATTGAAAGTGATCATTGATATTATTGGATTAATAACTTTCATATTTATAATGGTTCCATTCATTTTTCATTATTTCTATTTTTTATCTTACACTATTTCTCTCCCTACTCTTGTTTTAGTTCAAGATTGTATATGATTTGATGTCATGTTCTCTCTTCCCTCGGCATATGAATTACAGCACTGTATATGGTTTAGAGGTATATTTTAAAAGAAGTTCTTTTAGTATTGCAATATACAAGGAATTTGCAATATACATTTACAACTAATCCAAGTCCACTTTCAGATAACACTATAGTACCTCAGGAGTAGTAGGTAGTGTAAGTATCTTTTAACAGAGTAGTCCCAATCCCTCTCTCCTGTACCTTAACAATTATTCTCATTTATTTTACTTATTTATCGGCTATAACTGCCAAATACAATGATGCTGTTATTTAGAACAAACTATTTCTTAGAACAGTTAAGAAAAAGAAAATTAAAAATCTTATTTCACCCTCATTTATTCCTCCTTTAATGGTCTTCCTTCTTTTATGTAAGTCTGAATTTCCAACCTATATTGTTTCTTTCTCCTTGAAGAACTTCATTTTAACATTCTTTGCAAGACAAGTCTACTAATGACAAATTCCCTCAAATTTTACTTGATACAGTATTAATTCCTCCTTTACTTTTGAAGAAAATTTCACTGGAAACAATTCCGAGTTGGTGTTTTTTCCCTTTAACACTTTAAATATTTCACCGTACTTTTCTTTTTCCTTGCATGTTTCTTAAGAATTCTTTTTGTGTGATTTTCTTCGTGTGATTTATGAAATTAAAAAAATCCAGAATTAATAGACTCTCTCAGTGAGAGTCTGTCTCTCTCAGTTACTTTTCAGTGTCTCTTGAAGTTGAAAGTCTTCAGTAAGCTCTAGAGTTCTGAGTTTCAGCATACAGTCTGCCATTACTTTCTAGGTGGGGTCACGGATTTCTGTTGTTTTTTACTCTGTTATCTCTGAATCTTATTTTCTATGGTCTCTATTGTTGTCGTCTCTTTTGTCTTGTTTCCCTAGAGACTCCTTATTAAATAGTGTCTAAAGCACGCAGTTATTTTGTTGTAATACCCTCTTATTATTCATGGACTATATTGATTTATTATAAGGTGTTGATAGAGGAAAAGCAGTCAGAAGTGCTTTAATTGACTTAGACTTTTAGGAGACTGAGTTGGATATTTCTCCTCCATGTTGAAGGTTGGAGTGGGTTGTAATTTAGAATGTTTCTTCTCGAATATTGACGTACATGATTGGGTATTTACCATAATTGTTAATTTACCATCCTTGGTCTTGTTTGGCTTTGGTCAAGTTCCCGGTGAAATATTTTCCTTTGAGGTTAGGGTTATTAAGGAAAGCAGAGAGCTGTGGCAATATTTCAAAATGGTTATTTTCCCCTTTTCATTACTGGGTGCATGGGGTGGAGGAGGAGATTTTTCTCTGATCTTAACAATGAGCAATTGGTAGGGGTAATGGAGATAAAACGTATGGAATTGTAGTGGTTTGCCTAAGACTGGGACCCTATGGAATTTTAAACTCTCTATGTAGACCACAGGGAGTCTCCAGCAATTAGTTAATTGTAGTTAAAAGTGTTCTATGATTCTGGCTCTAGATATGGGTTTCTGCTCCTGGGACTCTACTTTTGGTTGACTCTGTTAATCTGTACCCACTTGTCTATTTCTCTAGTTTTCTGGCAGGAGTTTGCTCTGTGACCTAAATTCTAAGAAGAGTTTTGATATTTAGTTTGTTGAGCCCTTATTTTTTTCTTGTTGTGCTGATGGGAGTGATGATTTCCAAGCTCTTTTTTGTATCAGACTGGACATTGGAAGCCTCTCATGCTCTTATGGGAATACAGGCATGTAGAAGTTCATTGTTAGTATTGCTGGTGCATTGTCAAAGAAATGTATGCTATAATTACTTTTTCATATTAGAGCTCAACATGTGCTTTAATGATGGTCAGATTCTTTGAGGTTTGACTTTATCTAAAATATTTGAAAAAGGAGAATAATTTTATATTCTTGATTGTATTTAAAAACAGGATTAATACTGCAGTACATATGATACATATTTTTTGGGGGAATCTGATGCAAATGTTTATTTCATAGATATTTTATAAAACCCTGACGTAATTTCTGAGTAGGTAATTAAAATTTTTGTCTATTTTTTCAACTAAAGGTTTTGAAATTGGAAACTGATTGTAAATTGATATGCATCTGTTTATAGTAAAGACTTGTTGCTAATTAAGAGTAACATGATTCCCTGCAGTTTCACTCTGTACTTTTAAAAATAGGTCTTTTTATTTACATATTTAGTTCAATATTTATTATTATTTTTAACACGTATTATTTGATTAAGAGCAATTGTACTCCATCTTGATGAGCTGTTTGGTAATCTTTTTTGCATTATTTCTATGGAACTTGGCTTATTATAAAATGTTACAAGATTTTTGTTTTATTCTCAAAGAAATACAGTTATATATTTTCAAAACAGACCCCAATTTCACTATAGTTTGCTTCTGTTTATGTGACATTTGGTGCTAAAACAATCCTATTATTAATCCATTATATAGCTATATTTAAATGCTAAGTAATGGACAAAATGGTTACATTTCTGAAATTCATACCAAGAACACAGATAGTCTTTTTAGTTAATATAGAGTTATAAATTACCAGTTATACTCATTCATCGAGACACAGAAATATAGAAGGGCATGTTTTTCATTTATTGCTTATGTCTTTAAAAAATAGGAACGCACTAGAAAAGAAAAAAGTTTTTTTTAAAGATTTGTTTATTCATTTATGCAAGAACCAGGGTACAGGCCAGATGCGCGGGAGGGTGAGAGGATTCACCAGAGACAGAGCAGGGAACAGAACAGGCAGACTGATGAAACACACTGCTGAGGGGAGCAGCAGGCACCACAGGAGGGGTTTGCTGCGCCTTGTGGGACACTCCCATGGGACACTCCGACCATCGGGGATTGAGCCAGTGCTGCAGAGGCTGCGGGCAGCTTCACAGCGCTGCTCTCAACCGCCTGCGCCACCAGGGGAGACCCTGGAAAAGAAAATTTAATTCTCAGTGTTAGTGTAAATTTCTAATGAAAGTCCTAGATATTGGTGACCAGTTATAGTTACAAATTCATAGCCTTTCCTTGGGGAATAAGAGTGAATCAACTGATAGACGAGTCATATGATTACTTCTCAGGATCATTCCTGGGTGAAGCATGGCAACCCAAGTTTCAGAGGCATCTTTATCCTTCCGTATGATCCTTATATACCATTTAAATATCCAATGCTATTTAGGTGAAGCATTAGGTTAATTATAGTTTAAATGCATTTTTAGTCTGTAATAGTTATATGAATAATTTACTTTAGCTTATGAATATTTTAAATTTAATATACATACTTATTTTAGTAGCTATTTTCAGGTAGAATGAATCCATAAACTCCCAGTACCTTTCTCTGCACCTCTGAGTAGCAAATAAATTCATCTGTAATTCTTTTAAAATACATTTATAAAAACCTCCATTTTATTTAAAATGTTTATCCCTTACTTCAATTATATTAAGGAAGAAGCTAATAGCAGTAAAGAAGAAATTTATTTATCTTCAGTAAACCAAATGTAAATGTTTAAAAATAGTTATTTTAAAATCTGCAATATTAGCATCAATAAATATATGCAGAAAACTTGAGGTATAAACTATGGAATCATTGGAAAAGCAGTAGTTTTAATATGAATCTTCTATTAAGAACAAATGATGCAACTTTGTGTCATGTTAATTGAAATGTTTAATTCTATAAAATAAAGCACTAAGCTTTTCTATGTAACAAACCTCATTTTTCATTTTTGTATGGCCAAAAATCTGTAGATAGATATTTCTTCTTAGTACAGTGCACTCAGTTGTGCAAACTTATCTTTTTAGGGTCAAAGAAGAACACAAACCACAACCGACACAGTAAGTAAACGTATTAAGAGTGTAGTAGGCTTGACTCTGTACCTTCGCCATATTCTGCTTTCTGCACCTTGGATGGTATTAGCTTATACTAATACTGGATAGGCTGCAGCTAGTGTGTCTTCTGCTTTCTGACTCTCTGGCTTGTAAGAGAGCTGCCTGCAGCTTCTTACTTCATCCACATACTGACTGGATGTAGTTTTTTGCTGCCTGCTTGTGGAGTGGTTAAGTGTTCAAACTTAATTTCCCTATATTCTGACTGCCTGGATGATAATTGGAGCTCACATTTCCATTGGCTGTAGCTTTTGTGCCTGTGTATTTTTATTACTATGGATAAGAAAACATTTGACCTACTTTGTTATTCATTTGGTTATTCAGTCACATTATTTGCTTATTTAAACAGGTGGTTTCCCTTTAGTGGGTTCACTGAACTGGTAAATAACGTTCTTCAGCCCCAGCAAAAACAACAAAATGAAAAGGAGCCCCAGACGTAAGTAAGCTGATCTGTATAGACTAAATATTCTCTGTGATAACATACTCAACAGTATGTATTAAAATACTTCCCTTAGAATAGCATTACTCAGAAATGAAAACTGTTAGGTTGATACTTTAACCTTTAATTATCCCATGGAAACTTAAAAAGAAAAGAAGGATAGTTTATAGGGTAGTGAAAATGAAGAGATAATTCTCCCCCCAATTTTAGTATAAATAATGTGCAGTAAAATATCTTTATCCAGTATAATATCTTTATTTTATATTTATATACTTTCTCAAGTAATATTTTGTGTATATATATATATATATATATATATATATATATATATATACTTTCTCAAGTAATGTCATATGTTCCAAAGGGTAATTATTTCAAAAATAATTGTGGAGGACATTAAGAGGTATTAACCCCCAAATTCAGTCTTTGGTCAAATTAGTTTGTGAAGGTCCTTTTGGAAAAGGTTAAACATACTTCTTTATTATAGTACTTCTCTTACTATCTAAATATGTCCAAAGGTGTTAGAACATTCAGTGTTTACTAAAATTTTTCATCACTGAATCCTGTTTTCACTGAGCATTTCATTAGGTTACAAAACATAATTTGGGAAACGCAGAAACTTAATCTCACCTTGACCTGAAGAATTAAAGAAAGTCAGTTTCATCTAGTTAGTTGTTGGCAGATAAAATCCTACTGTTAAATTGTTGTTCACACCTATTTTTTTAAATGATGTACAAACAATATTATTTATGTTGTGATACGGAAGTCACTCTGAGAAAGTAAAAAATACTGCATCTGTTTAAATTCCAGTCTCCCCATGATAACTTGACATCTTATTCAGAAATGTTTTTACCGGTTAGCCTCTGGCTTTTTGAAAGTAGGAGTTACATCCATGGAGAAGATGGTTTGGTTATAGGAATGGGCAGATTGAGAAAGATAAGAACTCTAATTGAGAACGAAAATGACTTCTTTGATTTCTAAGAGGAAATATTTAGAAAAACATTTTGCCTCTCATGTAAATTAGAAGTAGAAAATCTTTTTTTGTCCTATTATTGAGTGTAATCTTCTCATCCATTTTAAGTCACCTTGAATGCATTTTAAGTTTCCTTGGTGTTTCAGTTGAGTAAAACTAGTGGTTGATCTATGGTTATAAAATTGGAACTGTTGTTGCATTTTTTCCTTGATATGTAATGGTATGCTCGATACATAGTAGGAGTTCAATAGATGCTTCTTCCCACTGATTTTGCATGTTTTATCCTTTTTTGGCACAAGGCTATCAGAAGAAACAAATGAAATGGCACAATATTAAACTAGCACATGATGCCATTGTTTTGCTGATTTTTCTCTAAGGCAAAATAGTAAAGTCATTAGCAAAATATAATTAGTTACAACTTTGTCTCAATTTAAAATGACTTCAATTATGTATGTTATTTCTAAGTTTTAGGAAATAATCAAGATTAAGTCATGTTATTTAGTAGATTATAATGGGCATTAAATAAAATGGACATTTTATTAGTCAACTTAAAATGTAATTTTTAATTATTAAGTGACATTTGATTGGCTTAGGCTAACATCAAAACAAATTTGAAAAGAAATAACTTTACTTCAATATTAAATATAATTCAGCATGCTTTTCGTTTTGGATAGGAAGATGGTAGAAGAAAAGACTAGTATCTTTGGATATTTTAAACATTAATTCTTGACTAATGTGTCATTTCCTTTAAATTTCCTTGAACAATAATTCATTCTTATTGCTCAGTGTTTAGGTAGTTCTAAAAATTCAGAATTAGTAGATTCTTCACTTGCTGTTGTCTTCATCTTATATTACGATTATACTGAAGATTTCTGGTATAAAAATTTTTCTGGTAGCTTTCCTTGGAAGGGTGGAGCAGGGAACCTGGAACCTCCCCTTTCCCTGGGCCCACCCTGTTACACTTTTATCTCTCTGATCCATGCATCAGGGTTACTTCTGCACCTTCCCTTTTTTTTTTTTTAAAGAGATTTATTTATTTATTTATTTATACAAGAACCGGGGTACAGGCCAGATGTGCGGGAGGGTGAAAGAATTCACCAGAAACAGAGCAGGGAATAGAACAGGCAGACTGACGAAATACACTGCTGAGGGGAGCCGCGGGTGAGACAGGAGAGATCTGCCGTGCCTGCACCTTCCTTTTTAACCCTTTGTGTTTTCTTTGATCAAAATTCTAAGACTTCTTTCTGAGTCATCTTATCTCTTTGAATACCATTGGAGTGGGATAACTTCCTCTGTTTACTTTCATTTGTCATTCCATAAACTTGTTTCTGAGAACTGTATTCCAGGTATTCATTTTAACTTGTAACTGTTAAAATGTAGAACTTACGTTTTTCATATTCTGTATAAACATTTTCATAGTAGAATATTAGCATTAAAAATCTAGTATATCCAGGATAGTAATTTTATTTTAATGGATTTATGTAAATCTCATTTTCTGGTTATTTAAAGTTATAATAATATAGGTTTTTCCACGTAACGGAGATTCGCTAGCTTTGATTTGAATAGTTCATGTAAAATTGTAGTATAAGTAAAACAATGTAAGTAACTTTGACTTTTCATAAGTTTTGAAGCATAGAAAATCTATTGAACCTTTTTTTCAATCAGTTCATTCAAATTTTTTACAGAAATTGCTTAATATATAAAAGAAATAATTTTAATAATTCTAATTTTACTCTCTTTATTTCACTAATTTTTACATCAGCATTCAAATAAGAGAAAGTTGTTTATAAAGATAATACAGGTTATATGTAAAGTGTAAAACAACTCCTAGATAATTGAGGATGAGTATATTAGGGAAAAAATGATAAATGCTTTGCAAAGCACCTGTTATTTTAATTTATATTCTGATATCATTAAAGGTAAGTAAGAAACCTTTCTAATAACAATTTTTTTTAACAAATCACTTGAAATTTTGATGTTCACGTGGTAACAATTAGATTTTTGTGATACAATGCATAGTAAATATACCTTTAAAATGCTAAGAAAGTCTAAGATTTGAATCATTGGAATCAGATTATAATTAAGTCATTTATATTCAGAGGCCTCTTTGAATATGAGGCCTTGTAATAGGAAACAATGCCAAAGGAAGAGTGTTTTAAGCACTGGGAATATTGTATGTGACAGTCCTTAGGTAGCAAAGGTCTATAGTGTAGACCAGCATGGTTGTAATATGATGGACAAGAGGAAATGTGGCAGGAGAGGAGCGTTCAAAGCTAGGATTCAGATGGGGCCATGTTTTAGGGACTGATGAGGAGTTTATATCAGTGTCAGCAGGAAGAGAAGATGAGTATATATGAGGATTTAAAAGGAGGCTTTTCAGTGAGTAGAGTGAGTGAGAAAGGAAGTGAAGGGAATCGTGAGGAAGCTTTTGTGAAAGACTCTGCCAGAGACCATGATGACTTGGGCCAACTCCGTTACAGTGAAGATGGAGACAAGTGGATGGGGTTATATTTGAAGGTTGAAATGATTTGTTAGTGGAGTGAATTTGGAGGAGTATTGTACGGAAGAGAGAAGAACCAAACATGTCTATGAGATTTCTGGCTGGAAGAACTAATTAGCTATGCCATTAATTATGATAGAGAACAAGTTAGGGTTACAGGGAGATGTTTTACACTCTCTTAGGTGGCAGTGAAAGACTAAAGGAGGTTAAAAATGTGGTAACAGTGAAAATACATGAAAAAATATTGAGAAACTTTTAGTTGCTCATTAGAGATATCAGTACAATAATACATAGTAAGCAAAGGAATTTTAGACAGGAGGAGTAGAGATATTGGAATATCATTCTTCTGTTATTGGGTGGGAACTGTCTAGTTCAGTTTGTCCTATGCTTGATCCAAACATCATTGGTTAACTGCTTCTTCTCTCGAAATAGCATCTGTATCTGGAGATTCTTAAGATTCTCCTATTTAAAGTTTTCTGCTGGAGCACATTTTAAGGTCTAGGCAAAATTGCTGTGTCTTTCTAATCATGAAACATGAATCCAAGAATCAACATTTTGAGGCTTGTACTGAAATGCTATTTTTTTTTTAAAGATTTATTTATTTATGCATACAAGAACTGGAGTACAGGTCAGAGGCGCTGGAGGGTGAGAGGATTCACCAGAGACAGAGTGGGGAGCAGAACAGGCAGATTGACTGAAATACACTTTTGAGGGGAGCAGCAGGCCAGTCAGGAGAGGTCTGCTGCGCCATTTGGGTAGCTCCCTTGCTGGCTGGGATTGAACCTGTGCACTGCTGTTGCTGCCCTCAGCTTCATAGTGCTGCGCTCAACCCCCCGTGCCACCAGGGAGGCCCTGAAATGCTAAGTTGTTAACATGACTATTAGTCTTTTCCATCAAGACTTCAAGGCATTTTTCTCTCCTGTGTCTCTCAGAAAACAGAATCTTAGGTTTCAGGTCATAGAAAGTTTCTTTCATAGAAGGATGTTCTGGAAACACTGCTTGTATTTGTTGATGATAAGACTGTGTGTTAGGCACAATTCCTTTGCAATACTTAATCCTCTTAACTGTAATAAGGCACAATCTAGGATCAGAGGTAAAATTTCTAAATGTATGGGCAACCTATTATGATCTCATTAGGGAGAGCTGATAGATCCCCAAAAGAGTTGATTTTGTTGAAGGCTAATGGCATTGGCAATTGTATGGTCCTTAGGATATTATTAATTTAATTTCAGTTTAAAAATGCCACCTTTTCCAACTTTTAATGAAAGTTGAGGGTGATATGCACAAAGATGTTTTCATGTAAGCAGTGTGCTTATTGGTGCTTCACTGGTCAAATCAATAGAATTGGGGTTGTGAAATGTAGGCAGTTCCTGGCTTATATGTGTGTTTCCAGTTCCACTATAGATGTTGTTCAGTCTCAATAGTCTAAGATTGACTGCATCTGTCATGTATCTTAGACCCGCCTTGACTTCCTTTGGGCTAGAAAGAGGTTAATAAATATAGAAAGATTGTGAATGAAAATTC